TTCCTCTCGCCCCCAGATCTCCCACACTTTCACCGACTACGGGCCCGGCGTTCGCTTCGTCCGGTTCGAGCACGCGGGACAGGACTCCGTCTACTGGAAGGGCTGGTTCGGGGCCCGGGTGACCAACAGCAGCGTGTGGGTGGAGCCCTGAGTGACCCCTCCTCCCGCTCCCCCAGCTGCCCTGCAGGGGCAGAGGCCGGGGGTAGACAGGCCTTAGTGGTAGCACCGCCCCTTCCCCTCCCCACGCACTCCTCTCCCGCCCCGGCTCCAAGCCCGGCCCCCACGCAGGTAGAGAAGGGTTTTGCTGGCATATGTTTGCACCTGGAAAATAAGATGGGTGAAGGCTTGGGGCCTGGACCGGGCCCACCGCGGAATCCCCCACCTCTAGCACAGTGCCTGCCGTAAAGTGGACTTTCAATAAACATGACTTGTTCGAGGAAGAAATGAACGAATGGATGAATAAACCCCCCTTCCTTTGCACCCTTCCCTGTCTCCCGAGGCCCCTGGCTCAGCCTGGAAAAATACTTGGTGGGGCTCCAGCTGCTTTGGTTTCCAGGGCCCATTGGGCCGGGGCAGAGCCAGCCAGGCCTGGGCCAGTGGACAAAGGCTGGGATTGTGAGGGCCGGGAGTGGGGAGCTGGGCCTGGCGCCTGCCTGACACCCAAGCTGCCCAGAGGCCGGAATGAGGGGGGGCTCTGTGTGTGGGGCCACCCTCCAGGCCTTTCTCGATCCCCATTCTCATTTCCTTCTGAAGGCAGGTTGGTGGGTGATGGCAACACCTCATATAGGGATGCCCATGGCCTGGGTTGGGGGGTGGGGAGGTGAGGGTGGGGACCACAGGAAGGCCAGCTTGGCGTCCCTCTTCAGTTCACGTCCACTTCACTGTCCTCCCTGCCCTGCTATTGAATTGCACAGGAGTCTCACAGGTCACTTTCTAAGCCTGGCCCAGGGGCTGGCCCCTGGCACTTGTTTGAGGGAAGGGGGGGAGGGCGTGGTGCCCGGTTCTGTGCCAGCAGAGGTCAGGCTCTGGCCTCACCAGCAGCTCTCCAACCGGCCCCTCCCCAGGACCCTCAGCTGCAGGTCCTGGGCCAGAGAGGGTCCTGAGACATCTGCTCTCTCCGACGACGTGGGGACCAGTAAAACCCCTGTGCCCCTCCAGCTTTCCTTTGATTCTGAGCCCTGATGCCCTGCTAGTCAGGAGGGATTGCAGGGTGTAAGCTGGGGCTCATGCATGCACTCATGATTCCTGAAGTCCCCATCATGGACAGGCCCTGTGTAGGGTCCCGAAGTGACAAGGTGAACAAGACACTCCCTGTCCCAGGAAGAGGTATCGTCCTGGCTACTGAGTAGGGGTCTCCGGGAAGGGAGTCTCCAGTCTAAGGGTGGAGGCCTACCCCTGCTCTGGGGACATGCTCAGTCTGAAGGCGGAGGCCTACCCCTGCTCCCAGTCCTTCCTCGGAGATTTCACAGTCCAGTGGGGAGGGCACCATCCACGCCCCCCTGAGTTGCCAGTCGGCAGGGGAAGCAGTGCCTTGCGCTGGGGGCCCAGTTTGATGAGGATTCACGGGGAAGGGGGTCAGCCCATGAGCTCCAGGCTCAAGTAGAGGAGTAACCTGGGAAGCTTCGGGGTGAGGGACTAACTAGGATGGGCAGGTGGGGAGCCAGGTGGGGATGAGCTGGGAGAGGACTCCTTGGGGCTGTGGGTGGAGTCTGGACAGAGCGATCAGTGGGCCTGAGAGGCCGGGATCCGGGTCCTGGTGCCTGTGAGGACTGGATGTCAGGGCAGGGATGTGGGGGGTGTGGAAGGTGCTGCAGGTGGGGGAGCTCCCCTGTGGGGATTCAGGAAAGAGGCCCAGGTGGTGTCTGGGGTTCTGGGAGTTGCAGTGTATGTGGCCAGCAGTCAAATCCAAGGGCACCGCTGAGGGCCGGAAACAATTGTGAAGTGAGGGCCCAGGGAACCTGGTTTCTGGGGCCTTGACGGGGAGACAGCAAAGCCAGGGCGGGGGGTGGGGTGAGTAAGAGGGTGCAAGTCCAGCAAGACCACCCCCAGCCAACTGCCTGCTCTCAGAGGAAAGATCCAGAAGCCCAGAGACCAGATTCTTTCCCCAGAGCCCACAGAGGAGCGCTGAGGGGCTCAGATATTGGGGTGGTCCAGACCCACTGTCCCTGAGCACCTGTCACTGGAGGGCCCATTGGCTAGACTGGTGGTGCTTAGCTTGGGAAGGGAACAGCTGCTCCTGAGATGTCAGAGGGCTGATGGGGGAGGGAGGGGGCAGGTGGGCCTGCGAGGCTCACTGTGCCCAGGGGGCATCCTGTCACACCAGCCCTGAACCCTAGCCGGAGGTGGGGGAGGGGGCGAGGGCATTGCTACCCCCCTTCTTCACATGACAAGACTGGGGGTGAAAGACTTTCCTGGCAAATGACACACAGAGTAATCAGAGACGCACAAGTTCTAATCCAGGCGCATCTTGCTCCAAAGGGCTTGCTCTTAACCCCTCAACTTCATCGTCCCTGCTCTAGAGGGCAGAGTGGACCCCCAAGAGCATAGAGTTATAGGACTGCGGATACCAGCTTCCTTCAAGGGAAACCTACACGCTGTCCAGCAGGGGGCGCCTGGGGCCTTCTGGACACTGGAGTGTCCAAGCCAGAGATAGCAGACAGGCTAGCCAGCCACATAGCTCAATGGCCTGTGAACACTGGCTAACGAGAGCAGGCTGCATGTCCCCTTTCTACTTAATCAATATTTATTGAGCACCTACTACCTGTCAGGCAGAGATAAAACAGACAAGGACGCTGCCCTCCTGGAATACACAGTCTAGATGGAAACACTAAACACAAGAGGTTAAATGAATGAAAAAGGAAACCACTAACCTGGTGCAGCCCTTAATGTCCACGACAGGCACTATTCTAAGAGCTTTATGCACATTAATTCACAATAGCCTTATGAAGTGGGAGCTGTTATTACTTCCAGTTTTGACAGATGAGAGAACTGAAGCACAGCTAAGAAGCGGAACTGGAATTCTCTTAGGCTCTTGACCTCCATAGTGTAGGAAACAAAGTAGAGCGTGAGGATGGGGGCGCTCTTTTGGTCAAGGTGACCAGGGAGGACCTCTCTGAGGAAGTGACGTTTGAGTGCTAAGGAGAAACCAGCCGTGCAGATAACTCGGGGGAGAGCATTGCAGGAGCAGTGAGTGCAAAGGCCCTGAGGTGGGAATGGACTGACTTACAGACCAGAAAGGCAGCCAACGTGGCTGGAGCTCAGTGGCAAATGGGGGGAATGGTTTGACATGAGGTTGGACGTGTAGGCAGGCAATTCTGAGAGTTTCCTGAGCACCTACTGTGTGCTCTGACACATAAGGCATAAATGCTATAGGAAGCAGATATGATATCAGTGTCCTCTACTGAAAAACCTTCCTCTGTTTAACAGGAAGGAGCTGGGACAGGGAGTTAGAGATCAGCAGCTGACAGTCTAGTTGATGAAACCAAATCCCCCAAGAGTAGCAGGATGAACGATGATGAAGACGACGATGATGGTGACCATGACAGGCATTTGCTGAGGCCCTACGGGTGCCAATTCCTGTGCTAAGCACAGAGGCCCATTTAGTCTGCTCCACAGCCCTCTCTGGTAGACACAGATATCCCTATTTTTTAGGGGAAAGAGCGAAGACACAGAGAGGGCCTCCCTGAGGCCCCTGACCTCACCATCTCCATCCCAGGCCACCTGGTACCCTCCCCTGCATCCCTTCCCTCGGGGGATGTCCCCGTGGCCTGTCTCAGCCTCACGGGCTCCATTCTGGAGAGGCTGGGCAAGTCACCCAGGGCCATCCAATGAGAAACTAGTTGAGGCTGGGCCTCCAGCTCCAGTCCTAGCCACTTTGCCATGGTACGTGATCAAAGATGGGCATATGCCAGGGGACCGAGCAGGGGCAGCAGTTAGGAGGAGTGAAAAGAGCTGGAGGTGGCAAGGACTGTGGGCGTTAGGGCTCCTGTGTATATTCTTGGCCAGGAGGAGGGGGAGGTGCCGAGCGTTCCTGGGCCACCTTGTGTTAAGGGGTCAGGGCCCGTGATGAATTTTCTTTTGGATTTCTTGGTGGAGCCCTCTAACCATTTTGTAGTTGAAAAAGTCCCCTTTTGGCCCTGGCTGTGCAGCTCAGTTGGTTAGAGCGACGTCCCCATACACCGAGATTTTGGGTTCGATCCAGGTCAGGGCACATGCAAGCATGAATGAATGCAGAAATACGTGAAACAACAAGTCGATGTTTCTCTCTCCCCGCCCCCCCCTTTATCTCTTAAAAATCAATAAAAAAAGAAAAAATTCCCCTTTCCTCGTTCTGATTCATTCACTTTGTAAATCTGGATATTTGTATGTATGGTACGTTTAGTTGTGGACCTAGAGGAGCAGTTCCTCTTAGTACCACTAGGTGGCAGCATCGTCAAGGCAGTACCCAGAGTGGGCTGGTTCTACCCAGTTCTCCCCAGGGCCGGGGGCTTCAGAGGGCTGAATTTGAACCCAAAGCCTGTTTTCTTTCGATTGCTTGAGGCTAAGTCTGGGTCTGAAGAGGCTGGGCCCCTTGCCCTGCTCTGGGGCCGCTCTTACACCACAGGCTCCCGAGAAACATTTAGGAGGCTGGGTCCTTTGAGGTCTAAATCCTATCAGATAAGGAAGGGTAGGTGGTCTCCAGAGATCTAACCATACGTGGGTCTGGGTCCTGAAACCCCCAGTCTGTCCCGCTTAGGCCTGCAATGAACACCGGCAACCCAGGCAGATCCAATCCTGATCTCCTGGTGAGTAATGGCTTTGCTATTTTTTTACCCCATAAATTAGACCTAATCTTGTGTTGACTCTGCTGAACGAGGAGAATAATGAGGAAGATTAAGATGAGATGGTATTCATTCTCCTCCAACAAAAGCCAATGAATTGCCAGCAGGATTAGTGCCCTGAGCCAGGAGCTCTGCAGACCGGGTAGGCAGGCCTGGGGTCTGCTGGGGATGCAGCAGGAAAGATCCCAGTTAGATGTGAGGAAGAACTGCCTGGGAGAGGGAGGGGGCTGGAGTCAGGGAGGGGGATGTGCAGGTCATGGAACCTCCCACCAGGTGATGTTTGTGAGACATGGAGGGGGCTCCAGGGGAATTCCTGGATCCCTGCACTACTGGGCACTTGCTCCCTGAGGCCCCTGACCTCACCCAGCTCCATCCCAGGCCACCTGGCATTCTCCCCTGCATTCCTTCCCTCAGGGGATGTCCCTGTGGCCTCTCATTGGCTCCATTCCAGGGTCACCTTTGACCCTGCATGTAGGAGTCTCCAGCCTCCTCCCCACCTGCTCCCCTCCTCCCTTCCTCTCTAGGAACCAGGGAAGCCACATGTCCAGGGTTCAGAGCATGGATCTGGAGACAGAAACACTTGGGTTTCACCTGGCTTTGTCCCTTGTCCCAGCTGCAAAATGGGGCC